CCAAGGGCACCCTTGCATCCTTGCCTCCTCGGTCCATCCATGGCCACTTTCGTCGGCCGCGCCCCGCTCGCAGAACTTCGAGGTGGCCCTCCACTGCCCTTGCCTCCTCAGCGCGCATTCTGATGATTTGGTCTGACTGTACCCCAAACTTGCGGTCTCCGTCGGTGCCAACAAAGGACGTAGCGCGCCCCGCAGATCTACGAAGCAGTCGACGCATTTCGCTTGTAAATCCGACGGGGGAGCCAAGTCTGGGGCGAGTCAACTCCGCGGTCGATCCCCCACTCGAAGAGCGCCCCCTCCCTCAGGCCTCCGACGTGCTGAGAGACGCACTTTGGGGATGTTGCTCTCGCAATGTTCGGCCTCGGGGGGCCCAGCGACCTGGCAGGAAAATCGGGCCAGTGGTGGGGGGGGGGGGGGTCGGGCAGTCCAGGGGCCGCGCACTGCCCCCCCCGCCCCCCCGCCCTGGGGGGGGGGGGGGGGGGGTCGGGCAGTCCAGGGGCCGCGCACTGCCCGCCCGGCCCTCCCCCTCCACTGGACAGCCCGACCCTGTCGGCTGCGCAGGTCCGAAGCCTACTATCCCCAGTCGGCGCTCGTTTGAGCCAGGGCGGCTCCAAAGAGCGTGCGCGCGTGCTGCTGCTCCGGATCCGCACGCGCCTTCGGCGACGTCGGCGAGCTTTTCGTCACCGTTGTCGTCCTCCCTCGTCATTTTTCTTTTTCGCCCTCGTTCCCCCCTTGCACTACACGTCCTCCTCCTCCTCCTCCTCCTCCTCCTCATCCCCCTCTGCTCTTTCTCCCTCCCCTCCTCCCCATCCTCCTTCTCATCCTGATCATCCTGGTCGTCATCCTCCTCTTCCGTCTCATGTTCTTCTCCTGTACCTCCTCATTTCTCTCTCCTTCTCGCCCTCCTCCTCCTCCTCCTCCTCCTCCTCCTCCTCCTCCTCCTCATTCAAATGCTTCTTGTCCTCTTGCTGCTATTCCTCGTCGTTCTCGGAAAATCGTGCCAAGGATTCCCCCACTGCGTACGTGCCCTGGGGCTCTGTCCTTCTTTGGCTTTGTATACGTTGTCCCATGCATATTGTGCATCTTGTGCAGGTGTGCGTTCGTGACGTTTTTCAGTCAGCCGACGCGTCGTCATGACGCGGCTTTCAGTCGGTCAGTCGGTCAGTCAGTCAGTCGCAGCCTGCCCCGCAGCTTATCTTCGGCCTCCAGGGGCCATTCCCCGGCCCTGGGACCGTCAAAAGAGGGCTCGGGATGACAATCCAGTCCCGTGGAAGGGGTCGAGCCTTTTGGGGGACCACGTTGCAAAAAAGATTATCCCGGCAAAGCAACCTAACAGCGATGTGTATAAGCATATCTGGAAGCATTCCCCTTAAGATTCAGGTGAGAATCCAGTTGTAGAATTCTGCTGTTCACGCAGTCGCAGTCGCAGTCGCAGTCGCAATGACAGTCGCAGTGGCAACGGCCTTCGGATCCAATGGAATCCTAAGGACTCCTAAGGATTCCTGAGGATGCTTAACTATGCCTACGGATTCCTAAGCATGCCTACGGATTCCTAAGGATTCCTGAGGATGCTTAACTATGCCTACGGATTCCTAAGGATGCCTACGGATTCCTAAGGATTCCTAGGGATTCCTAAGGATTCCGATATATTCCTACGGATGCCTCAACCTGCCTCAGTTTCAGCCTCAGCCTCAGCCTGCCTCAGCCTCAGCCTGCCTCAGCCTCAGCCTCAGCCTCAGCCTCAGCCTCAGCCTCAGCCCTCGGCTTGCCTCAGCCTCAGCCTCAGCCTGCCTCGGCCTCAGCCTGCCTCGGCCTCAGCCTGCCTCAGCCTCCCCTCCTCCCCCCCCCTTCCCCCCCCGATTCAGCCTCACCTTGTCTCAGCTTCGGCCTGCCTCGGCCTCATCCTCAGCCTCAGCCTCAGTCTCAGCCACAGCCTGCGGTCAGGGTTTCGCCCCAGATGCGTTCTTGATGGCCATTGGGCCGAGAAATTGGCTTCGCAAATGGTCAAACCTGGGGAACAAAACCGGCTTGGTAGAGAAAACCATATCGTCGGATCTCTGGGGCGGGGAGAAGGAAGAGGAGGAGAAGAAGGAGGAAGAGGAACAGGAGGAGGAGGAGGAGGAGGAGGAGGAGGTAGACCCAGATCTCCAAAGTCGACCCACTGAGGACTGGACCCCTTTCCTGGGAGTTGTTTTTTTATGCCGAATCATTGTTTGACGGTTCATGGGCCCAGCGAGTGCCCCTGGAATCAGAATGTTGCCAAAAGGTGTCTTTGGTCCTTCGTGATGTTGTTCATGCCCCAGGTGGGCCTGGGGAGGGGGGGAGGAGCAGGAGGAGGAGGAAGATGAGAAGGAGGAGGAGGAGGAGGAGGAGGAGGAGGAGGAGGAGGAGGAGGACTAGCAGCAACAGGAGCAGCAGGGGCAGGAGCCGAAGCAGGAGGTGCACGCTGGCGATCGGCCGTCGTTTGAAACGTGTGGTTGCTCCTCCTGGGAAGGGGGAGTGCACTGGCCCCTGATCACAGAGCGCGGCGGCCCTGGAGATGCGGCCCGCCTGCGAGGGAGGATGAGGAGGAGGAGGAGGAGGAGGAGGAGGAGGAGGAGGAGGAGGAGGAGGAGGAGGAGGAGGGGGAGGAGGGGCAGGAGGAGGAGGAGGAGGAGGAGCTGAAGAGGGATGAGGAGGGGAAGGAGGAGGAGGAGGAAGAGGAAGAGAACGCGGGGGAGGAGGAGGAGGAGGGGAAGTAGGAAAAGGCGGCGGGAGGGGGAGGGGGAGGGGGAAGAGGACAAGCTACCGTCCCTACCCCTCCCTCCCATCCCTTACCATGGCGTAGACCTCCTCTCTATTTGCGCAATCAGATGTCGTAGCATGGCATTGCATTATATGGCATTGCTTGGTGTTCAAGACTAACGCATAGCATGATATAGCATGGCATGGCGACGCCCCAGAGTGGGGGGGGCCCTTCTGAGGTCTACAGAATCAACGAATCGACACCGAATATGCAATCACTTCCGATGGGTTCTTGAGGGGGGCATTTTTTTCCTTTTTGGAAGGACCGACAACCATGCCTTGTCACGGGATTGGAAATAATGATGCCGGCGCTGCAGCGGGAGCACGATTCGGAACGACCAGAAGCAAGGAGATGAGGCCAGCGCTGCAACGGGAGCACAATTCGGAACGACTGGAAGCGCGGATATGAGGCCAGTGCCTCAGCGAGGGCAGCATTTTGAAAACAAACACTATCGAAAACCCAACTCGCCGACATCCTGTGTGGAAAAACAATACGCGGGGGGCCGCCGAACACTCCGAAACATATTCCGCCACAGACTCAGGGGAGAGAGGAGAGTAGTATTCATGTGGAGTAAGTGTAGAGGAGGAGGAGGAGGAGAAGGAGGAGGAGGACGAGGAGGAAGAGAAACAGGAAGAGGAGAAGGAGGAGGAGGAGGAGGAGGAGGAGAGGAGGAGGAGGAGGAGGAGGGGAGACTGAGTGGAGGAGGAGGTGGAGGCTGTGGAGCAGGAGAAGAGGAAAAGGAGAAGGAGAAGGAGAAAGAGGAGGAGGAGGAGGAGGAGGAGGAGGATGAGGAGGAGGAGGAGGAGGAGGGGGAGGAGGTGACCGAGGATGGAGGAGGAGGAGCAGGAGGAGGAGGAGGAGGAGGAAGGAGGAGGAGGAGGAGGAGAGGAGGAGGGGAGGAGGAGGAGGAGGAGGAGGAGGAGGAGGGGGAGGAGGAGGAGGAGGAAGAAGGGAGGAGCAGAAGGAGGAGGAGGAGGAGGAGGAGGAGGAGGTGAAGGAGGAGCAGGAGGAGGAAAAGGATGAGCAGGCGCAGCAGGAGCAGGAGCAGGAAGACCAAGAGGAGCAAGAGAGGGAGGAGGAGGAGGAGGAGGAGGAGGAGGAGGAGAAGGAGAAGGAGGAGGAGGAGGAGGAGGAGGAGGAGGTGGCATGGCACTGGAAGTAATGACGCCGGCGCTGCCCAATTCGGAACGACCGGAAGCGCGGATATGAGGCCAGCGGCTCAGCGAGAGCAGCTTTTTTTTCAAGCAAACACTATCGAAAACCCAACTCGCCGACATCCTGTGTGGCAAAAACCATAACCTCATGCCCGTGAGAATAAACACTAGGGGATAATAAAGTTCGGGGTTCAGGGAGAGATAATAAAAGTAGCCCAGCAGACCTCAGCATAATCTCGAAGTAAGAGATGATCAAGAGGAGACCAAGTCGAGCACGTTCTGAGACATCCTTGGCGTTTAGTTTTCATAGAGATATCCTCAACAATGGCTTATCTCTCATGAAAATTGTTTTTTGTAAGTGCTCGTGTAGGGTAGCTCATGTGCCTCAATTACCATGGATAATCAACCCCAGAGATAAAAAAAGTTCAGGCGAGCGTGGGGACAGAGAGAAATATAAAAGAAGAAGAATGCAGTAGAATAATAATAAGAAAGAAGAAGAGGAGACTAAGAAGAGGACGAAGAAAGGAAAGATCCAAAGTTCCACATCTACCAATTTTAATTTACAAACGCTTTATGAACATTGATTTGTTTAAGTGCTCGTGTAGGGTAGCTCATGTGCTTCATTCTCCATGGATAATCAACCCCAGGGATAAAAAAGTTCAGGCGAGCGTGAGGACAGATAGAAATATAAAAGAAGAAGAGGAAAGTAGAATAATAATAAGAACATTGCTCGTTTCGTTTGAGTCTGCCTCCCAAAATTATTGGTTTCGCTTGACACATCCTGAAAAAGTGTGATCGCTTCGCTTGATGTTGCTATATCAACATCGCTTGATGTTGCTATCTCAACATAGCGTTTCGAGGTGATAATGAAGTTCGGCCTCAGCGCTCGCCGCCCAATTTGAATTTTGTATAGGGCGACGATAATCAACTCTAAACACTGAAGGGGGGTGGCCCCTTTATTATCATCGGCATGCGGTTACGCGGGGAGGCCGCCGAACACTCCGAAACAGATTCCGCCACAGACTCAGGGGAGAGAGGAGAGTAGCACTCAGATGGGGTAAGTGTAGAGGAGGAGAAGGAGGAGGAGGAGGAGGAGGAGGAGGAGGAGGAGGAGGAGGAGGAGGGCCCTGCCCCGCGGTGCAGGCCGTGGCGGTCGAGGCCCAGGCCCCCGCTGCAACTCTCCGCGCCGCGCTCCCCTCCTGCTGCTGCCCGCGCTGGGGGGCCGCCAGTGCGCGGGCGCAGAGCGCGGGGCCGCGTCCACCTTCCCACCTGCCCTCACTTCCTCCTCCTCTCCTCCCTCCCTCCCTCCTCCTCCTCCTCCTCCTCCTTCACTTCCTCCTCCTCCTCCTCCTCCTTCCCTCCATCCTCCCTCCCATCCTTCCTCCTCCCCACCACCTCCTCCTCCTCCTCCTCCTCCTCCTCCTCCTCCTCCTCCTCATCCTCCTCTGGATGCGCCCGTTTTGAAAGGCAGCGCGTGCTGCGTTGAAAACGGCCGTGCTGACACACGCTGCGTGTTAGCCCGGCACGAGCAGGCCCACATCAGGGCTCGAGGTAAACGTTGCTTCGGCGATGTCGTGCACCGTGTTCGTTGTGGTTTCGCTTCGCAGCAAAGGCTGAACGGAGGCAGAACGCTGGAAAACGCACACAAAACGAACACGGAAAGCACTGTGTAGCTCGAGCCCTGGCCCACGTTCTGGCTTACGTATCTCGCCAGACCTACGTTGCCAGTGTACGTGCCGATTTCTGTGTCAACACACTACGTGTTGGGTGTGGCGTCTCGGGGCAGCTCGGCCTGCGCGTGGTCGGGCATGTTCCTGTGCTCCCCCAGACCCTTTGGACCAGTTCGGGTCATGAAAGAATCACGGCGCGCAGTTTGTGTGTATGTTTGTTGTTGCTGTTGTTGTCATTGTTGCTGTTGTTGATGTTATTGGTGTTGTTGTTATTGTTGTTGTTCTTCTCCTGGGTGACCTTGGGGGCCGCCAAACACCGACTCGGGATGGAAAGCTGGCCCTGGGCAAGGAGTCTAGACCTCTTAGGGGCCCTCGTCATGACATAATTATGACGTCGGGGGTCGGTGATTGTTTCTACCCCATCCTCCTCTATCCTTTCTGTTCCTGTGCCGTGCTCAATGCGCCGCGGAAGGATGAAACCAGACAGTTGCAAATATCTCACGGCTTCCAAGGTACCGGAACACTCATCCGACATGCTTCCCGCCAGCTTTGACTGCCGCCCCCTTCTTTCTGGGGTGTGAAGACCCGGCCTTGAGCGCAGAGTGGTGGACAAGCCCGTTCAGTTTGTCTAGCACAGTAACTGTCTCTTCGTGCTTTCATCGTCGTTCTCCTCCTCCTCGGTCCTCTTCTTGCAGCAACGGATGACAGCGATAACCCATGCAATGAGCAAGTGCACTTCTGAATGGTGAACGAGAGGAAGAAACAGATGCGAGCCGCCAAGGCGACCATCAGTCCGACGCCCCAGCAGGGAGCCAGGGCGTACAATTGGTGGTGTGCCTGGTGCCCCTCGGCCACGGGAGTCTCCTTCCCCCGAGGGTCGCCAGTTCGTGGCATCGCCCAGACGTGTGCCTCCTCTTGTCCCCAAGGCGAGAACCATCGAGGAGCATCCTGGAGCGTCGCGCGAGAGAATGGACGCACGACGTCGAGAAAGGCACGGAGAATCCACGTCCGAGCGACGGCGAGAGCTGCTTGAGCTTGACACGCTGGCACGGGCCGGACAGCGGAGGCTACGAGCCTCCGCCCTGCTCCGCCCTCCCCAGACCCCCGACGTCGTTTTTTTGTTTTCGCAACGTCGGCCCCCAGAGGTCTCGACCCATTCCCCGGGACTTGCTTTTCTTCTTGAGTCGTTTTTCGACGCCCCCGAGGCTGGACGAGGGCCCCCCGAGGCCGAAATTTGCCAAAAGCCTCCCGTCCTGATTTTTTCAACGACGCGATCCTGCCTGGGGCGGAGGCCACGAGCCTCCGCCCTCCTCGGCCCCATCGGCTCCGCCTCCGAGTCCGTTGACAGCGCCCGCGGGTTCTCCTCGGCCAGCTCAGTCGTGCGCGAGCTGGCCACGCCCTGCGCTGCCCTGCGCGTGACCCGGAAGCGGCGCGAGCCTCTGGACAAATCCGTAAGGGCTTCGCCCCCTGCCGCCGGCCCCCTCTCTCGGAGAATGGGCCATGGAAGAGCTAAGTCATGAGGCCTTGGCGCTGTCGTGAAGCAGTATCGAAACTTCATGCGAAGCCGATTCGCAATCAGCAAAACCAACTGATCACAAGAGGGGTTACCACACCTGGCGATTGGTAAGACGTGTATGGTTTACGGGCTTGGTTACCACACCTTGCGATTAAAGGGCCGAGGGAGTTCTCGCAGTTTGGGTTACCACGCCTTGCGATGGATGTGCGTGAAGGGTGGCACCGAATTTCAGAAATGTGGCAAATCCCATGTGTTTTTGGACCCTGACCCCGCGGATCTGCGTGAGGGGTGGCACCGAATTTCAGAAATGTGGCAAATCCCTTGTGTTTTTGGACCCTGACCCCGCGGATCTGCGTGAGGGGTGGCACCGAATTTCAGAAATGTGCAAATCCCATGTGTTTTTGGACCCTGACCCCGCGGATCTGCGTGAGGGGTGGCACCGAATTTCAGAAATGTGGCAAATCCCTTGTGTTTTTGGACCCTGACCCCGCGGATCTGCGTGAGGGGTGGCACCGAATTTCAGAAATGTGGCAAATCCCTGTGTTTTTGGACCCTGACCCCGCGGATCTGCGTGAGGGGTGGCACCGAATTTCAGAAATGTGGCAAATCCCTTGTGTTTTTGGACCCTGACCCCGCGGATCTGCGTGAGGGGTGGCACCGAATTTCAGAAATGTGGCAAATCCCTTGTGTTTTTGGACCCTGACCCCGCGGATCTGCGTGAGGGGTGGCACCGACTTTCAGAAATGTGGCAAATCCCTTGTGTTTTTGGACCCTGACCCCGCGGATCTGCGTGAGGGGTGTCGATTTCGAGCCCCCCCAGCAATTCAGACAACGCGCCCAGGGGGTGCTAAAAAATATAGTTTGGGCCTCCCTCCCCTTGCGCGGTCAATCAACTAGTTACAGTAACCAGCAAGAAGCAGAACTGTAACACTGGAAACTACAAACTACAACTGGTACAGGAAACTGCGAATCACGGGCCTACAGCCTGGTGGCCCCACAAGGGGGCCGGCGGATTTACAGGTATTCTTGGCTTCCCAGACCCAATCAACTTTTTGGCGCCTTCCTACTTCCAGGACCGACTGGTTTCCTTCGTCCCTCCTCTCCAGGGGGCGGGCGGAAGCCCAGTCTACTTCACACGCCTTCCTGCTTCCTGTTTCTAGCCACTTCTTCTGACCTGCGTGCTATCCAAAATATTTTGGGGGCGCGTAATGGGGGTGCGATAATGGGGGGGGGGGGGGCAGCGAGGGCTGCAGAAAAGAGGGGGCATGCAGGGCCAGAAAGGGGCACCTTTCTCCCGCCTTTCCCCCCCCCCTTTCCCGCCCCCCCCCACCAGTTCGCGCCGAAAGCTAAGCTCCAGTTCTTGTATGACTCCGTCACTGACACCATATGGCCCATTCCCCATTCCTGCTCCGGATGCCTCCACCTCCTCCTCGAGGGTGCGCTCTGCTCCCTCCCGGGTGTGGCCCGGGCCGAGGGGCGGAGTCTGCCTTATATCTCGGCCTCGGGGGGATTTTGCCTGGCCCGGGGGCCGCCAACAGGCGACTCGGGATGCAGAAGTTGTCTTAGGGAAGGGGTCCAGATCTCTAGGGGACGACCTTGCGCGAACAGAGCACGACGTGGAAGGTCTGAGGAGGGACGGGGGTTCGAAGTCTTTCTGGCGTCTTCGTATGCTCCTGGAGGTTCTCCTGCCGCGGGATGCGTTCCAGCAGCTGCCCCTCGTCGAGAGACGTATCGAGAGGTACCCGGATCGTCCCAAGCGGCCGCCAGAGGCCAGGATGAGGTGACCCGAGAGCCGCACGAAGGGAGTCGTGTTTCACGTAAGAACTTCCCCTCGCCTTAGTGGCCATTTGTGCGCGGCCCCCGGAGGCTGCTGCTGCTGCTGCTCCTCCTCCTGCCCTCCTCCTCCTCCTCCTCCTCCTCCTCCTCCTCCTCCTCCTCCTGCTCCTCCTCCTCCTCCTCCTCCTGAGCTTCGAAGAATGATGAAGAGGAGAAGGCAGAGGAGGAGGAGGAGGAGGAGGAGGGAGGAGGAGGAGGGAGGAGGAGGAGGGAGGAGGAGGAGGAGGAGGGGCAGATGCCCAAGGCCAAGCAGAGATATCGCCGTTCGCGTCGCGTCGCCTGCGATCGGCCTGCCGCGCACCAGAGGTCGCCCTCGACCTGCAGGATCGCTCCTGCGCGCGGCTGGCGCGCGGGCGTTCCAGGGAAGGTCTCCGCGCAGGAAGCAGGGCCGCGAGTGAAGACGACGTCGTTACATCGTTTCGGACTGTGCTGCCAGGTGCTTCGATGGAGGCTCTCGTTGCCACGGCTCGTTCTTTTTTGTCCGAGCTTGTCATTACCAGTATCTTCCTTCTCGTCCTCCTCCCTCCCCTCCACCACTTCCATGTTTGAGTATCCTCCTTGTTTCGCCCCCCTTCGCGTCCCCCTTCTCCTCCCCCTTTCCTCCTCATCCGTCTTCTCCTCCTCCTCCTCCTCCTCCTCCTCCTCCTCATCCGTCTCCTCCTCCTCCTCATCCGTCTCCTCCTCCTCCTCTTTCTCCTCTTCATCCTCCTCCTCCTCGCCCGTGTCATCCGTGTCATCGTCTTCGCACTCCTCGCCCTTCTCCCCCCCCCATTTCCCCCTGCTCCCGAGTTCGCCTCCGCGCCCAGGCGCCCGCCGCGAAAAGCAAGAAGTCCAAGGCGAAGGCGGCGAAGCCCGAGGAGCCCCTCTCCGCCCCCTGCTCCAGGGGGGGGGGGGCGTTGGGGCAGAGCAGATTGGAGGGAAGGTCGGTCGGTCGGACTCGGCATTGCCGGAGTCTGCGTGCCGTCTTGCCCCGAAGACTCACCCCGAGAACCATGGGGGGGAGGGTACACCTGGAGCTACTGCCCCCCCTTCTCGGCGA